GCCCAAGGACCAAGGCATGGTGTCCTTTTGGCTGTCACCACAGTGACTGTGCTGGCACTGCAAGAGCCAGGACTGCTCGACACCCTCAGGTACCTCTTTGCTGTGCAAAAGTTGGGGACAGCACCAGCTTTCAGACTATTCCAAATTATCTGACCCAAAGCTAGAGGTGCTTTGTTAGGACCATCCTCTTAAAGAAAATCAAGTGCAAGCAATCACTGCTTTTGGGGCTGAGCACTCATCTGCTGAAATCTGCAATAGTCTATCATCAAATTATCTGTACTTTTTTTTTAAACATTTAAGCACTAAGTACTGAGGGGAAAAAAAAAAAAGAAAAAACATCTGAAGATACATCATGAGGTTTTTGCTCTTATGCCAGGAGCTGTAGGACATGACATGTAGAGGCTATGAAAGAGTGGAAACAGCACAGCAGGATTTCTATGGATAACCATCCTTTTGATGTATTGCCCAGGCCCACTGATGCTGTCCTGGCACAGATGAATAAAGATCTTATGATGAGAAGGAATCATATGCTCACTGGCAAGTAAACAAGTATTTGTTTTAAAACAAACCAGGAAAATATTTGCATGCCACGTAATCTACAGCAGACAAAATCTAGGGCAGTAACAGGGGTGAGATGATCAACCTCCATCTAAAGTCTCAGTTGCTGGAAGTGTCAGACAATGATTCATGTTCTTGAGATTCAGCAAAGTCTGTCTGCACCTGGCCTGAGTCAGCACTGAAGGTTTTGTTTGCTTTGTCATCCTCCAGAACAGCAATGGCAGGTCAGGAAAAAACAGCAAGGCTGAAAAAATTCCCATATGCAGAACTGTCATTTGACTGCTCAGTGCCACAGAACTACTAATACTCCACAGAGGAGTAGTTACACAGCAGAGAGGACACAGAGCTGCAATGACTTTATTTCCATTGTCTTTTGCCTGGTCAGATAAAAAATGCAAAGATCTCAACAGTATGGAGGGAATGAGCACTGCAGTAATTGCAGAGGATTGTGAAAACCACAAAACATGACAAAATTTCCATACTGTGGTCTTACAGCATCACACTAGGAATGTACAGATCCCAATATCATGTTTCTGTGGCCAATAGAAAAGACCTGGAGATTAAAACACTAATAACCTGTCACCAGGAACTACCACGTGAAATACTGGGACAATGTAGATCATTATTAGAATGAATTAATGTCAAGAAAACCCTGAAGTATGGCTGGCACATTGTCCATGTTACCCACAGCACGGAATTCAGTGATTTCCAGAGCACTGGGCACTGCCTGCTGGTCAGCAGAAACTTTCAGTACATACAACTTCAATATGTCATTGGCAAAACATACACACAACCCTACTACTTTTAAAAGTAGTGCTTAAATACAGCACAGCTCACTGACCAAAGTCTTTCATCTGCATAAAGATTAGCAAATTTAAGAGCAGATTGCACTGCAGACAAGAGTTCTTTCAATTTCATATTAAATAACATACGAAACTATTACCTTTTCTAATTTACTTTTAAGTCTTCTGTCCTCCATCCTTTTCTTCAATACTTCCAGATCTTCCTTGTTACCATTAAGGATAATCACATCTTCCTCTTGGAAGGGAACACCACACTTTGTGGAAAAAAAAAAAACAAAAACAAAACCAGAACAAAATTAGTATTATTTTCCAGATTTTTATGCTGGTGAACCTTTGTTAAAATTAATACTGTGTTCTTTCTCTTTTAATAGTCTAATACATCTTCTTACTTCAAATGGCAATGGAAATTGTATATTTATTTCTCTGTCTCTTATAAACAACACCCTGAACTAATTTTTTTTTTTTCATTAAAAAGAGTCCCATAGGGTATTTTCTGTTCATGGGTTGTTTTACTGGCATAAATGTACTTAAACAAAGTAGTTCTAAGTAGAATCTACTCTAGTTTCTGAACCCCACAGCTAAAATTCAGAAGCACTTTCTGATTTTTAGTTATGAAAGCATTTGATTAAGATCTAACCAATATGCCATTCTGCTCTAGAATTTGTCTTTCAACTCAGTGATATGAGAAACAACAACTGACAGGAGCAGTTCCTTTACACTGAGTAGGGACAACACCAAAAGTGTTATTCCTCTACATGTAGAACTGACAGCACCAGGGAACTTGGAGGCCTTCTTTTAAGTAAATAAATAAACAATAACAACAGCAACAACAAAACAACAATATTATTAGTATATTACTATAGGGATAAAAAGAGGTCATAAAAGCAGAAAAAGTCATTCACCTTGCCTTGCTGTCTCACTGTCCTTCATCTGAAGCATCAAACACTCTCAAGTTTCAAACTATTTTCAGAAATTAATCTGGATAATGGATGCAATGTGCTTCGTGTGATTCCATATTTGTTTCATGGTTCAAAACACAGATGTTTCACTGTGCACATTTTCAATCATTTGGTGCACCAGCACATTTGACTATGATGTTTTCTAAGATCTCACTTTCTTTTTATTTTTTTTCTTTTTTTTTGCTGGTTTTTTTTATTTGGTAGGTTGTTTTGGGGTGGTTTTTTTTGTTATTTTGTTAAATCCAGAAGCTTTCTGTTAATCTGCAAGATTAGTTTATAATCCTGCCTCTGTCATTACTCTTCTGTTTTCTGAACAAAGGTTTAGAAAGGTTACTCATGTATTTGCAGTAGGAATTAAACAAATGAAAGGACATATGGGCAGTACTTTGTCCACAGTGTGCTCACGTGCTGAGCACAGTTTAAAAACTGAACCTGTACACAAGTGGTCAGAGATTAGGAAGGAGAAACAAGGGTTAGAGAGAGGCAGAGTAAGTAAATCAGGCAGAATAATAAGTCAAACACAAGAAATGGGTGAGTAGCCCAAATTTTTCCATTCCTACTCAATGAGCCAGTGTTAGAAACACCAGCCTTGAATGATCTCAGACACTTGAGAGGGAGATGTCTACAAAATCAAGACAGTCTTCATATTGAGGCAGGAGCAACTGGCAGCTGATTTGATTCTAAAGAAGCCCCACACATTCATTTTTTGTGGGGTGTTTCCTCACACAGCATTCAAAAAGCACATTCTGTCACTAGGACTCTACTTTCAATAAATGCAGCATTTTGAAAGAGCAAGTGAATCCAGGTTCCTATCTGGAAAACACAGGTGGAATTGTTCAAAAATGAAAAGTATTTACAAGAAACAGGGAAATATAGACAGTGTGTTCTTTCCATTCCCTGAAACAGGTATTTTTTGCCATGACAACAGCTGGATTATATCACAGAGACCATCCCCTTCCAAACATACTTGAAGTACAGCAAGTTATAGGCACAGAACCATCTTCACCTCTCTGTATTTCACTAACTCCTGTAGGGACTATTTGCTGTTGCATCATACAGGGCATCAAATGTCAGTTCTGTTGGGTGCAAAGCTTTAATTCTGATTTTGTAAAAAGCTCACTATCTCTTCATGCAAAAAAAGGAAAGATTTTTTTGACATTTTGATAATGAGACAAAAAGCAGAAAGAAATTTCAGTTTTGCAAATCCAGAAGGACTGTTCCTTCACGTTAATTAAGGTCTTTTGGGGCAGAGCTTTGTTTTATAATATCACAGGTTCTCCTTTGCTGTACCTTGTTTATCTTGGGACTTTAAACACCTACGAAGGTACTTGCTGTAGTTCTTAGAACCTTGAATAGAAGACATTCCTAAATGAGACTGAACTTCTAAACTGTTCTGCAATGGACAAAGCATTAGAAGAGCAGTTTGCAGATCCAAATCCAAGATTTAATCTGTAATTGAAGAGTGGGATGTCAAGGAGGAGGGAGAAGCTGCACAAGCAGCGTGATTTTGGTCCAAAAGCCCTTGTGGGGTTGAATTATAGAAGCATGTTCAAAACTTTTTATATCTAAATGGCTTAACACCATTGCATCAAGGAATTATTTAAAGAGGTGAAGATATGATCAGTCTTCAAAGTCTGATACTCATAAATTTATGCACCCTATATGTGCATGTGTACATAGCCCACGTGTACATACAAACATATATACACACAAATCAACTCCTCAGAAAACCAAACCAAATCCATCCCCCAAAATTTGAAATAATTAGAACAATAAAGGTATTATGAGCTGTAACAGGTATATTAGCTTTGGTATAAATATAATCTGTTTAACTAGAAAAAGAAATAGCGAAATTACTCATTAAACAGGGCAGGTATTGAGGACTGAACAAACACAGAGATTGAACATCCACGGACCATATCACTGTTCATCTCCCAGCCACACAAACTGATGTATTAAAGATTATTGTCTCTTATCACAGTTAACTAAAACATGTTCTGAGAGAGTTTGCCAGAGGTTTATCCATTAAAAGATCAGTAGTGTAGGATTTGTTGAACATAACTTTCGACACTGCTGTCCCACCCAGACAAACAACAGGTCAGAGGGTAAAGGACAACTTGGGACGAGTGGAAAGTCTCCTACAAACTAATTCACAGAATGGGAACTTTCACTCAGGAGTTGCAGCATCTACCACAAAAACAGTCCAAGCCAAAGCCTCTATTTAAAAAGTTTCTGTGGAAGTCAATGATTATTTTGTACCTGCTATACCTGCAGCTGTGACTTAATTTACTTTGAGGTTTCTTATTTATTTCTGACCAACGCGCTATTTTTATCAAAACGTGTCCAAAACACACCATCCTTCTCACTTGTTTCTAGAACCCCAAAGCTTCCTAATTCCAGTAAATCCAAGCCACTAACTCGTCACTTATTTAAACCTTTAAGAAGGTTTATTAAAACCCGTAAGAACCTTTATAGGGGCAGTAACGGCAAACATTCAGTTTGTGACGGAGACCTTTCATTTAAGCTTCCAGTTTAAATACCCAGAGGCAGCTCCCAGCTGTAGTTATTTGCTACAAACTGGAAAGTTTCAGCAGGCAAAGAGTTAAGGACTTGGGGGAGGCGGAGGAGGAGGAGGCGGCTGGTTCCCAGTTCTCCATCCACATGCTCGGTGAGGTGCGGGGGTTAAAGGCTCTGGGGCAAAGCAATTCTTTGGAACCGTCAGCGATGTCCTGCCCAGCCCTGCACGGCTGATTTCAGCAGGGATGAGAAGTTTTCTCTCATTACTGCGAAGCAAAGGACGGCTCTGAAGGCAGGGAGAGCTGTGCTGCAGGATAAATATGCTAAACATTGCGGGGAGTCGGAGGGAAGTTGAAATGAAAACAATCCCCGTTAATGTTTAACCCCCTCGCCGAGGGATCTCCGCAAGCCGCAGGATGAGGGACACCGACTCCTGCTGAAGGACAAGGAGACCCGGGATTTATTTTTATTATGCTGCCGTCTCCTGGCTAATTTTGGACAAGGTAAGACTGCATCAGTTAGACTGCAGGATTCAGTCTTTTGCTTTTCCTTTGCTAAAAACATGTTTTAATTTATGTAAAGTGACAAATATTTTTCACTTCAAGACCATTTCACTCAAATCTGCAGTAGGGTTCATATATTTTTTTCTTCTTTACCTTGCCACAGATGCACAGTAGGACAGAGGTCATTACTACTAGTTGTTTGTATTATAAAAATCACAATAATTATGCTCACTCAAGCAACTTAATTTTTTTTTACAGCCCTGTAACTTAAGGGTTTAAATAGCTTTCATAGTATTTGTTTTACATTATTACAAGGTCAAACGCACAAGGAAAACTAAACAGGAAAAATAGCAAAGATGAACGCTAAAACTCTGTAAATCTGAATATGCATCAGTAAATTCTAATGCACCATTTTTAAAATAATGATTTAAAATTTTTAAGGCAATATTAACAGGGTTTGATGAAGAAATGCTTTTACTCAATGCATGTCAGAACCTAAAGCAGACTCACATCCCGACCCAGGCTTAAACAAAAACCAACAATGGGAAAAGCAGTTAAAACTACTGATTTTAACATTAAGTTTTTAAAATATCCCTGTTTATAAAATATCTACTCTAATGCCTACATAAACAACTTTCAAACAAATAAACACAGATATAAAAAGATTTGAAAATAAAGAGTTAATGCTTTTTTACCATTTTGTTAGAAGATGAAGTATTTCCCCCTGTCATTTGCTTCACTAAATTACAAAGTCATATGAAGCAAATACAAAGAGTACAGAGAAAACAAAATATTTAGAGGTGCAGTGATGCAGTCCAAAACCCAATGGCAGGAAGAAACTCCAAATGCAAAACGAGTTTTTCCTATGAAATGCAGTCAAATATCTGCTAATGGGGTCTTAATGAGCTGAGATGACATTTCACAGGGCTTTTTCCAGGCATAATCATAATTCCTGTTTTCTCTAGAGTTTACCTTGTTAATTGAGATGGAGGAGCTTAGGCTTACAAAATTTTTCTGTTAAGTAATATCCATAAAAGCAGCCACAGAGGTGCTTGAAAACCCCTACAAAAATGGGGTTTTTGTTTTCTTTCTTTTTAAGAATGTCACACACTATTCTGTTTTCTAAAAATTAATACAACTTTATCCTCCATATTTAAAAAAACCTAAATGTAACATAAAAAAAGGCTGTTCAAAGAGACATTCTGCTAACAAAAAATACCTATAATGGCACTCTTGCATAATGAGACTAAAGGGCAAGATAGTCACAAACTGGGTTATGCCTGGACAGAGGACATTCCCAACAGGATCTCTTGCTCCTCAAGGGCAGGAGGAAACCTGGGAACATAGTCCTTGCCTAGAGGATTCTGCTAAAGGACAAATTCCATACGCAGTGGGACTAACAGCTGCAATCCCAGCTCTCAGTCTGGTAAAACACTAACAGAAAGCCATGGCTTTCGTGCTGTAATGTCCCCCGAGGCTGAAAGATGTCAAATTCTGTTCTTGTAGGCCAGGCTTCATCATTCAGTCATTCCCCATAAACATGTTCACGCTGGAGAGGAATTGCTGCTTCTTACCTGATAATGGGGTGTTTGTGTACTTTGCTGCTGCCATATAAAATAACAGTTTCTAGATGCCATGTAGTTCAATAGGAAAAAATCCATAGTAAACACTTAACAGCCCGAAACATCCCTGGAAGCTATTACTTGAAGGGTAATAAAAATTTAAGTGTATGAAACAAGCAGGTTCCCAAGGGAACTACCCTTTGCAACCTGTCCAAAGAGGTATTTAAGGAAAAAAACCTGGCAAACACGGTCATTCTGTACAATGTTCTATATTTAAGCAGGTATAAAGTCCCAAATATTTCTACAGCTGCCCAGTGTCTTCAGTGTAATAGTTATGTCCAGAATGAACCTTCCCTGTGACATACCAGAGATCTCATGACATTCACTAATTCTCAGGAATCTCAAAGCTCCTCCTGCAGTTACTTCCTCAGAATAGGCCAGTTGGTCTGAGTCCAGGTCCACAGAAACCAGTGCTTCCCTAACAGACACTCCCCAGTTTCAGCCCCTGGGTACCTAATGGCCCTCATGCAAATCTCCTCTGGCACAGGATGCAGCAGCCTGGGTGTAATTCACTTTTACTGCAAAAATCCTGGTTTTCACCTTCCAGTGGCATTCCTTTTCTCCTGCTTTCTGCACAGTATCAAAAGGTTGATTTGATTTGCTCAATTTTTTTGTTGAAATGGATTAAAATACTTCTGTCAAGCTTGTTTACCCAGTAAATGTATCCCTGAGGAGCTCTGAGGCAAAAAGATTCTTCAGGGACCTGATTTTGTCATGTTTTTCTTGCATCCAACGCAGACGGAAGAGCTGCTGCCAGAACACCCAGGGAAAATGGATGAACCCTCCACCTAACACACAACTCCACTTTCTGGAATGCTCAGTGGAAAAGAGGCATTCTTCCAGCATGAAATCCAGTGCATACCAGTAAGGACCAAAAGATAAATACATTCTTCCCCAACAGCCTAATACAATCTTAAAAATGTGATAATAGCCATTCTCTTGGGTCAATTTCTGTGTTCTTAATGCTTTTTAAATGGTATGTCTCATTGCTGCTTTAACTGCAATGCCCTCTTTATTTTCAGATTTTTAAGAGAGATATATACAGAGTTTTTATTAAAAAAAGTATTGTCCACTTCTTTCTAATGAAAACCTGGAGCCTTCTAACCATAACAGCATTCCTGTAATGAAACTACCTTTATAGAAATATGTTTGGTCTCTGCTCCTATAGAAAGCCAAATGCTTTGTGATGTTGACAGCTGCAAAGCGTAAAATATTTCAAGGTGAAATGCAAATTTTGTTTTAAAAAAATCACTGAATAAAATGAGAAGAGAAAATTAATCACCTTTAAAATAAAAAAAAAAGCTTTTAAAATTAAACTTTTAAGCTTAATGGCAGTTGGTAGACTCTTCTCCCTAGTATTTTCTCTAGGAATTTCAATACCAAATGCTTCAAGGATAAAGACTTCACGTAACTGCTGTGGGATTCAGGACTGCTGCATTCTCATTCTTCTGACTCTTTAACAAGGTGGATGTAAGGTAAAAAGCACAATGGAAAAACTCCTGTGCCAGTAACTGCAGTAAATTCCAGTTATCTCTGAATGCTAATATTGGCAGTGGTGTCCTTATCTCAGGGTGTGCACATATGCTAAAAATAAGAAAAGAGCGTTGTCTGTATGTTCTGTTTTCCAGAGCACTCTAATACAAAGATGTCTGAGGAAGAAAAAAAAAAAAAAACAACCTCTCTCAAATAGTCAGAAACATTTGCTGACTTTATAAGGATAAAACCCAGTGTATTTTGTGGATTACATTTTAGTCTCTTCCTTCTGTTTATTTAATAAGTTTTCTGTTGATTTAATTTACTGAATTCTGATCCTCTGGCAGATCTCAAGGTTTCCCAGGCCTTGAGGAAATCTCAGCAGCAGCTGTTCCTCAGCACACAGTGCTTCCATGTCTTTCCTGGGGCACTGTACTCAACAAACTCCTACCTGATGGGCTGAGCTCCCCATGGGTCAAACAATGAAAATACAAAGCCATTTTGGGCTCTTTTATATCATTTTAGGATAATTTTGTCCTGGAAAGGCCGCTTCGTGGCTCTGCAAGTCCCATTCCCTGTACACTGCAGCACAGGCACAGGGTTCCTCCTAGCAGGTATCCCAGCATTTATAAATGCATCACTAACATGTCATTTATTTTAAAAGAAATAAACAAAAAGGTTCTCTCCTCCTATCTCAATTTTCCTTTCAGATAATCTGAATGCTTAATTAAACTATGATGAGAAGACAGTATCTGGAAAACAAAAGATGAACCCGCTTCATGCAAAGAAATCAAGATTTTTAGTGTGCGTTGCTGTCTGTACGTTCATCTACACTTTCATCTACCTAAAGGTTCCTCTTTCTGAAGAGCCAAATGAACAGAAATTAAACGTTAGAAGAGCAGAGTGTGGTTTTTACCCAGATGAACTTTGTTCAGCTCTTTTCGTGGGGAAACCTGCCGCCTTTAAGATTGGAAACTTCTGTCAGAACTCCTACCAACCCAAACCACTGAGCTGCATTCAGACTTCGTGCAGCTGCTCCACAGTTCTGAAGACTCTGCATTTTATCACGAGCCCACTGTCAGATGAAGAAGGAAATTTCTCATTGGCTTACATTATTACAATTCACAAGGAGCTGGAAATGTTTGTAAAGCTGCTAAGAGCTATTTATATGCCTCAGAATATTTACTGCATACATATTGATGAGAAGTCACCAAGAGATTATAAAACTGCTGTACAGAACATCGTTAATTGCTTTGAAAATATTTTCATTTCCTCAAAAAGAGAACATGTTGTTTATGCAGGATTTTCAAGATTACAAGCTGATATTAATTGCATGAGAGACCTAGTTAATTCCAAAGTTCAGTGGAATTATGTTATTAATCTATGTGGTCAAGATTTTCCTCTTAAAACAAATAAAGAAATTATACAATACATGAAAAGTAAGTGGAATGGTAAAAATATTACTCCTGGGATAGTCCAACCACTTCATATGAAACACAGAACACAGCTTAGTTACAGAGAATATGTACATTCTGGAGTGCCATACTTGTATCCAGGAAAGACTACGAAAGCTAAACCTCCACATAATATGACAATATATTTTGGCAGTGCCTATTATGTGCTCACTAAAGAATTTGTAGAGTTTACATTGACTGATGCACGTGCAAAAGATCTGCTTGAGTGGTCGAGAGACACGTACAGCCCGGATGAGCATTACTGGGTCACCCTGAACCGTTTACCTGGTAAGGATTCTGTGATTTCTGCTGTGAATAACCCCTGGGCCCAGAGCAGTGGGAGGCCTCTGGCAGGGAGAGGTGTTGAGCTCCAGCTCAGAGCTTAACATCCCTTAATTGCATAAATATGGGCATTTCTTCGGCCTTGATGCTGCCCTTTCAAAAACTCACATCAAACAAAGCTTGATTCCAGAAAAGTACTACTTACAGTGCAGGCCACGAGCTACAGGGCTAGAAAAATGTTGTTTAAAAAGGATTTTTATGCTACATGAAAGCTCATGCTCTTAAGGAATAAAAAAAAGCAGTAAAACTGAGAATGATGTCTGTTCTTGCTACGTAAATATGTACAAATAAATACTTAATGTGACTACAATTAAAAAGGTTTCAGCAGTGAAAATTTCCCCTTTATTAAGTAGGAAAGAATCTCATCAGAGCCTTATGTTTTTAAAGATGCTCCAGGAGCTACACCCAATGCAGGCTGGAAAGGAAACCTAAGAGCCATTAAATGGAAAGATCAAGAAGGATCCTCACACAAAGGCTGCAAAGGTAACGTGAATGTTGATCATGAACTCACATTTGATTCACTGATGAGCATTAACTGGAGATTACATGTTATTTAAACTAGCTGTTAAATGTGTCTCAGCGATTATATATATTTTGTTTTGGAAGTATCAAAACAAGGCACCCTAGTAAATTACTGTACTGTATCCAATATCAATATCTTGATACATATTTTTATATATTAATATATTTTTATATAATACAATATTATTGATATTTTATATATTTTGAGAACATCACAGTATCCATACACTGACAACCCTTCTTTCAGCCCCCAGTTACCAAAGCACTAACTCAACTGACTGCTTTTTAGTGGAGGGGCTTTACCTGACAGTAACGTTTGTCAGATACTTTTTAACACTGGGTTAAATCTCTTCAATTTGAACAATATCTAAAAGAATAGTGCTGACCACATAGAAAGCATGCAAAAATAATTAAAATATGTAACTGTGTAAGCTGAGCACAGTGAAGCACTGAATGACTGAACAGGTAATCCAGATAGATCAGAACAGATGCCCAGCTACGAGACACAACATTAAGCAGAGCAACATGTCAGTGAGGCAGCTGGAGGTAACAAGCATCCATTTGTGTAAAACAAACCCAAACCCTTGCCTTTATAATACTCTTTATTATCCTCTAGCTACTCAGTAAGAAATCAAAAGGTATTTTTTGTTGATGACAGTACAGAGTGAAACTACTTTTTAAAATGCTTCAGTTCCTCTTTCTGCTGCTTCCAGATACCTTCAATTTGTCTTTGCAGGTCATTACATCAGAGACATTTGTATCTACGGACTAGGGGATTTGCAGTGGATTATTGAGTCACCTCATTTGTTTGCCAACAAATTCGAGCCTGCAAAGTACCCCCTGGTCATGGACTGCCTGGAGAGACGCCTGAGGCTCCGGATGCTGCGCCAGGCAGAGGTGCCCATCCAGGACCACTGGCGTTTCCAGGAGCACAGCTACTTCAACATGAGGCTGGATGTCTGAGCTTAGCTAACATCCAAACAAGTGTTCACAATACTGACAGAAACCATGAACATTTTTAGCCATAGACTTCACTGTGTGCATTACAGCATGAGGGTAAAGCACAGTCCTGTACTACCAATAAACGGGTTTTATTTATTACACTAACAGCTGCTGGTGGGTTAATTCTCAAAGGAAATGACATGTCTAAATCTGTAACTTACTGAGGCCAAGGGGGAAGTTCATAATCTATTAAGTGACTTATTTAGCTGGAAAAATCAATATTCCTTGTGTCCACAGCCAAAGAATGACTAACTGGTATGAAAATAATAAAACAGAAGCAATGGCTGGATGAAAATAAAATATGGAGAACACAATTAAAGTCATGGTTACTGAGTGTCTTCTGAAATGGATTGTTTTGAATAATGAAGTTCATGATAAATTTGCAGAGCTTGTACATAAACAAGTGACAGCCAGTTTCAGACACAGTCCATGTCACCGTGGGTTTGGGGTTTGTTTGTTTTCCCCATGGCCAGCTGCCTCCCTAATTTCATTGTGTAGCATGGCAACATCACTGCTGCCCTTCCCAGGCTTTGCTCCTAATGAGGGGGGTGTGTGTGTATGTGTGTGTGTGTGTACCAGGAACAGTCACAGGGTGTGCATGTTTATCTCTTAAGTCCCTGTTTCTGAGTCTCTGCAGGAGTTTAGGGCAAAGAGACATGGAAAATTTGAGGCCAGGGAACACAGGAAAACTGAATGAAAGGCCGTCCTTCAATCCTGGTGTACCTGACTTCCCTGAACCTTGGAACAGCCTGTGGCAAGTGCAGATAACACCTGGCAGCAACCAGGACCAGCAACTCATTTCTCAAAACCTCTGCAGACCAAACTCAGCACTCACTGGGTCCTGCAGCAAGAAAGAGGCTTTCAACACACAAGGGGCAAACCCAGGGAACAGTAGTTGATCAGGGATCCAGCCCTTTTCCAGGCAAGAGTTGCTCTTTCCTCCTCAGAACTCTTAAATTAATCCTTTCACTCGTGCAACAGACAGGGGAATATAAAGAAACAGAGGATATAGGTGGCCTTTCATACAACATAATAACTCTTCCATGGAATTAAAGATCTCACAAGGCTGTGTCTACACTCTGACCTCCAAAGGTCTGGAGGACTGGAAGAGACTATGAGAAACCTGAATTGTAAGAAGTCACTTAAAACCGTTCATCCTCCTTTACAAGTATTTTGGCAAGGATGCAGATCAAAGTTGCATTCCAATAAATCCAAATTCTCAGTTAATTTGTATGAACTCTGATGCAAACTAATAAAATATATCTTGTTATTTATGAGCACACTTGATTAAAAACTACAAATTACATTTAAATTTTTAGGAGCAATCTGGATGAAAGCTTCGATATGCAGCCAAAACATCCCTCAGTTTTTACAAGAAAACTGATAACAGATTTTTTTTTCCCAAAATATTCAAATGAATGAAATGAGTCAACAATAGAACATGAAAGTTTCTTATTACAAACTTAGTCCCAGGTTCCTGGAATTGTCCTGCTCATTTTCCCACACGAGTTTCTCGGAAACATAATTTCTTTCAGATGAACTTTAACCTGAAGAAAGACCATCTGGTCCCTATTTATTTACAAACTCAACCCAAAGGCGTGTACTCAGTTTCATGTATAATCCAGGACTTATCTTGTGGCTAAATATTGCTGGAGATGCTTTTTTATGGAGGGAAATAATGAAGGAAAAAAAAAGGAAAATAAAAGCTCAGCTCGTTGAGAGTCCCTCTCAAAACCATTACTGAAGCTAATGGGTCTCTGGCACGTATAAATCAGAGCAATATTCATAATTAATTTCTCTCCAGTCCACTGAAGGGCACTGCCAGCATTTATCCACTCCATGTTGTCTTTTAAAATGTGAATGGAACGTTCCTCATTCCCATCATTAGAGCAAATCCAGTATCTTGTTTTTACCTTTGGCACCATCACACAGAACAATTGTTGTATATCACTTTGAACTGAATTAGAAGGAGAAATGCAATATCAAGGCACTATATAACAGGGGCTCCTTTTGCAGAAATTGAACCAGCCAAACTCTGGTTTGCACAAAAAGCCCTCTTAAAGCACAATTTAGGTGTGACTTTACCCATGTCAATTTAGGAAAATCACTGCAGTATGACCCTCCTTCCTTAAAGGATTTTGTATTTTAAACAAAATTTTAGGAAAATCATAATTAAACCATTCTCAGTCGGTAAGAAATAGTATTCAAGTCATTATTCTGATTACGACCACATTCTATTCTTGAGACACACACAAAAAGCCTTCATGAATTCTGTGTTACCATGTTATGAGTAGATGGATCACAACTTTTAGGCTTCAACAACCAACGTTTGCTAATCCTGGTGACTTGATCTAAGAGCAGATAATGCCAAAGTGACCCTGTTCCAGGAGCCACTGTGCTCTGTACCCTGCTGCACACGTGAACTCTGTATGTCAAAGATAAATTCTGTTTCAAGAAGCTCTGTATCTAAGTTAAACATGTGATTAAGTGTTTTATATGGCACAGAGTTTAATAGCTAGGGTACTATTTCAAGTGTGTAGTTGACTCTGAAAACAATTCCAAAATAAACTTTAAAGTGATACAAGAAAGTACATTTTAAAATGTAATCTGGTCCTTAACTTTCAAAGTGACTCCCAGAAGGACTCCACCATTGATTCAATAACCACTCTCCCATCTCCAAACCACTTCTAGGATACTGTTACACCAATAGGAACTTCTGAGACAAGAGAGTCAACATCCAAATTGATAATGCATAAAGCCTAATTTTTGTCAAGTAGCAGACTTTCAATTTAGCAGCACCAAAACCTGCCCATGCAAGAACCTGGAAGCCAGTTAGAACAGGAGCTCCAAAACATATGGAGAATCTACAGACCAACATAAATCACCACAAACTTACAATCTTCAACATCTCATCGAATAAAAAGCAGAGTGAGTAGAGACTTGTTTGTTCTTTTACATTTAGTAGTCTGTTGGAGAATTAAACACCTTACTCAAAAGGGCAAGTTTTAAACTGACAGATTCCATGTCACATGTAATTCCTGAAGAACAGGAAGGAGGAGGCAGCAGAAACCCCATGATCTCCAGAGCTGCTGCTACAGAGCATACATCACCAAACTCTGGAAGCAAAGTTGTTTTTCTCTTCCTGATGACTGAAATGTGATTAAGTCACATTTTAGCATGTGACTTAGTGTTGATAGTTTAAATTTTCCCTTCTCACTGTACAAAAGCTCAAAAATACGCCTCAAACAAAAGACGTTTCTGTGTGAAAAGGTATTACAAGTTTTATCTGCATTCATAAGTTGCTCTGTTTTAGTCAAAGCTCTTTTCCAACTCTTTTCAGTCTACACAGAAGGTTCAAAATTTGTCTCAAGCACTTCATCTACCAATCTGAGTCTCCAGCATAAGCCACCACTAAAAAAATTCCCATTGCTCTTTCAAAAATCTTTGTCCAGGAAGTTTTATATTTTGTCAAGACAGTTCAAAGCATTCACCCTTCAGGCAATGAGAGACAACCTCTGTCTCTCTCTCTGCTCTGCTACAGTGGCTGTTTGTTTGCCTTAGAGCTTTCCTATTTTAATGTTATTTTTTAACTTGAATCCTTCACTGTAGTGGTACTTAGGATGAGAAGCAAGAAAGAACAGAGACTTACAAAAGGCCTCACACATTAATTACAGTTGCTTTACTAAGAGCCCCCCACCCACGACAGTTCCCTCTCCTGTTCCAGTGCCTTTCCCTAGTACCAATACAGTCTTTTTAACAATTCCAGTAAAAGCAGATAAATACATGTATTTTATATTGTCAGCTCTTCATGTCAAGTTTCTATTGAGGCAAAATGTTTTTTTTTTATGGAAGAGAACTCTGACAGAAAGACTGCTTCATCCTCCCTGTACCCAGACTCCATAAACCCTTCCAAATCCAGTACTACACAAATGCTGTCAAGATAAACCAAGGAATTCTGAATCCTTCCTCTTAGTATTTTCCATTGTCTTGATTTAGACAAAATCTGCATACGCATTCTGCTTTTTCCTAAACACTTATTTGCATGTCACTGGGCAAAAGCATCCCTCTGTTTCTTTTATGAGCTGCCCCAGCAAAAGGAGGAGCAAACTGAGCAGTGAGATATCTGCTGGATCTCTGTATTCCCTGGGGAATGTTTTCACTGCATCATAACAGCATTTGCTCACCAGAGTCCTTTGGGAAACTTGCTGTTTACAATGGAGCACAATGGCAAGGCTGCTCTGAGGGCTCACAGGCAAAGTGAACACCCAGGAAGAGCTTGTTTTGAAGGAGCTTTCCTGAATTCCACGTGAGTGGGGATGGGCACGGCCATGCAGTTCCAAAACTGACACTCCTCCAGTCCCCACCCACTACAAACCTCGGGGATGAAGTGAAAACACAGATCCTGCTGGCTGAGAGAGACTGAATACAGCACAACAGCAAATACAGGGGGATCCTTTTGCACTACCCTCATCTGGGCACAGAATTAAGACAGAAGGTGACCAGGAAATAAGAAAATTCTGTGGCTCATCTGGATCTCACAGGCTCGATTTTAGTTCAAAAAACATACTATAATTCTTAAAATACAGCATAAACATATATATGATAATCCACAACATTCAAATATTCTGTACATTAAATTTTTTTTTGCATTACAGACTATGTATCAGAAGAGAATTCATTAATAAAAAGTTTCTAATCTGAGCACATACAATACTTCATTTTTTCTTCTTTCTTAGTTCATTTCACTGCATGTCCCATTGCTGCCTAAAGATAGACTGTGCTGGGGGAATGCTGCTAATTAGTGCTTTGGATATATAAACAGTTAGCTACCAGAAAGCACAGCAAGCAGTTCCCTGTGATCCTGTTCAGAAGAGGCCTCTAGTCCCCTTCTTGATTCTGGATGAGAACATTATCAGTTTACACCCAAAGATCTACCAAATCACTCTTTGACCTTAATTAAAGGGCTAAAATATGTTCTCTCAGCTGGTTACCACTGTCTTTGTGCATCAAAAACCAATAGTGATAAAGATGATAGACTAGATATTACATCCGCTTCATTATTTCTAGAAGCATCCTTCTGAATATTGTGAGGAATTCACATGTTTGTGAAACCAGCTGCATGCAAATATGAGCCTATGCTAAATTCTCATTATTAAAAATATCCAGAAAACATGTGAGATTCATTTTGTTTTTATAAGATTATCAGCCTGACCAAACCATGGACAAAACATCTCAATCCTGCATCTACTGATCTAGTTACATCCATCTATCAACCAAAATTTAGATGCAGACAAAAAACCTCATTAAAAATAAATAGGATCTGCCAAGAGGAAA